AATAGTATCCTTAATTTAGAAGACTTCTCATCCCCAAGGACCCCATAATAGCTGGTAGCAAGTGTTAAGCTCACAGGCCTCTCATTTAAGCTTTCAACCTTCACTTTGGTATTGGTTCATGGAAAGGCCCTCTATTCCCTCTTTGGTTCCTGCTATGTATTTAATGTTTTACATAGCAAAATAACTTTGTACACCATGGCCTACTTGTCAGAAATGTTTTTACTGAGTTAAAAAAAAAAAAAGATTTGGGAATCTAGGCATAATTATAATTCCAGCAGAGCATTAAGAGTTTAAGGCCATACAGTGAGTTAGAGATCATCCTGGGCTATGAAAGGCACTGTTTCAAACAACAATAACCACCAATCAAAAGTTGGGCAGTAGAGGATGTAGCTCAGTGGTACCCACTACCCTAAATGTACAAACCCAGCTAAATATCTGACTACTTGAACAAAAAGTAGCCTTAAAGACTTAATTTTAGCATATGTATGTGTTTTTCAATGTATCTCTTAATCTGTCTATATCTAAAATGTTGAAAATAATATTTGTAAAGAGAAACAAAGAGTTGCAGGTGTAGCTTAGGGGAAGACTATGTGTAAGGCACTGGGGTGTGAGCACCACCACTGTAAAAAAGGGTGGGAAGAGGAGTGGAGTGAACGCCCTAAGATGCAGCTTACTTGTGGTTCCTGTGAGAAGTGATAAACACTATAGGCATGGTTTATAAGGGAACCCTACCAACACTTAAGTATTTACAGTTGTTTCACTAATAAGATCATCAGGCTAGAGTTCAAGATGGGGATACAATCCAGCATTTGACAACAGGTTTAACGGATTCATCCATGGTTAGAGAGTCAGTAAGATGTCAAAGTTTAGAACTGTCTGTAACCAAACTTCACTCTAAGACAGCACTACCCTGGTAAAGCTTTCTTAGGGATTTATTCTGCAGCTTTTGAATGCAGAAATCATTTATAAATTTCAAAAAGGAATGACTAAATGGGAGGCATAAAAGCCTCCTAAGTGTATGTCTTATTTAAATAGAACCCAATAACTGGTATGATGGAGTACAGCTTCATGCCTTAGACTTCACTATTCAATATGCCAAACTCAAACGGGCCAATCAAATTAAAAACATCATTCCTTACATAGATTAGCCTCAGTAGTCACTGTAAACAGTAGGGGGAAGAGTGGCGTGAATTCCCCGGCAGGTGGTCAGTGTTAAGATAGTGCACTGCAGAGTTCTAGCAGACAGCACCACTCTAGACCAAATTGTCTAATTTTATTGTTGCAGTGGTGAAGGAACACTGGCTTTGAAGAACACCAGTGTTAGACTTCACGTCTCTTACTAGCTTTGTAACTCCCAGCAAGTTTCTAAACACTGGTGTATCTTGTCTGTCCATCTTCTAAGATGGGAATCAGAGAGGTAGAGACAGGAACACCACCACTGCTGAGTAGCTACAGAATCTGCAACCCCTCAATCCCTCACGGAAGTCCAATTAAAGCCTGTGTAGCTACCCAAAAGGCTCTTGGACAGAATGAAAATACAGTATTTTTCAAAGATTCATGGGAATCACCAAATCCAATGAAAGTATCTTCTCTAAGGTTTTAAATGTTATGCCCAGATCACAGAGTTCCCCAAAGACCACAAAGGAGACAGAGTCCCGCACATAAAAGCAAAGAGCCTTTATTTAAGCTTAAGCTTGGACTCTCTATCTGACCGGTACCTTTTTCTTGGGAGGGCAGTAGGTAAACAAGTATAAAGAAAAGCTAAAAAATAAATACACTAAATAAAACAGCTTAGAATTGGAAAAAGTTACAGTTCAATGCTTGTTCCCTGCCCTCATTTACTCTAAAACTGAATCTGAGTGAGAAAAGGCTGGATATGAAAGTATAATTTGAGTTAAATGGGTCAGGTATCTTGGTGGCATCTCCCATGGGAGAATGACGAAAGAACAGCTACAAGATCAGGTATAATTACCCATACAAAGAATCAGATCCTAGTGTTTATTTAATGGACAAGTCCCCAAACAACTTAACAGCTTCCTGACTGACAGTTATGTTCTATGTTTTTGACTCTTTAGACAAAAGTATGCTCAAGAGTCTTAAGACCACACATTACCTATGCCAGTACTTCTCAACCTGTGGGTCTTGACCCCTTTGAGGGTCAAATGACTCATTCACAGTGGTTGCCTAAGGCCATTGGAAATATCAGATATTTACAACTCATAACAACAGCAAAATTACAGTTATGAAGTAGCAACAAAAATAATTCTACGGTCGGGGTCACCACAACATGAGCAACTGTATCAAAGGTTGCATCATTAGGAAGGTTGAGAAACACTGCCCTGTCACCTTTAACACAGCTCTTCCTTTAAATAACCTGTATAAGTGAGTTCTCTGTTCAAGTAAGGAAATGTTGGTTTCTGTACTTTTTAAAAGCTTTAAAAAACAAAGATGAACAAAACAAAACCACAAACAGAAAGCATTAGCTCACTTTTCTCTACAAGAATACTTCAATTAATGTTATTACGAATGTTGCAAATGATTAAGATCTACAAAACACTAACAACTTCATGTTGATTCAGTTACAGTCTAGATAGCTGCTAGGTTTTTACATAATAGAAGCAGACGATAGTTTGCTTATAAATCTGCTTTTATTTGTTCTGCACAAGGACTAGAGAATCACTTCCAAATAATTCAAACTCTGGTAGGTTATGTTCTACTGGCTTTTCGGTTTGTTTGGCTTTAAAGTTAGGGTTTCTCTATGTAGCCTTGGCTGGTCTCTGTGGACCAGGTTGGCCTTGAACACAGAGATCCACCTGCCTCTGCCTCCTGAGTGCTGGGAATAAGGATGTGCTCTATCTTCAGCATGCCCAGTGTAATTCAGTCTCACAGGATTGTAACTGTGAAGGAGCCGGGCTTATGCTACAGGTAACCAGATGCATCAGTCTCTTGATGATTTTCCCCAATGACTAGGAGGTGCAATACAGAATTGCGGAAACAGTAAAAAGCAGGATTTATCCAATTTAACACTAAAAGTTTGCTCGGTGGTGGTGGCACATGCCTTTAGTTCCAGCACTTGGGAGGCAGAGGCAGGTGGATCTCTTTGAGTTAAAGACCAGCCTGGTCTACAAGAGCTAGTTCCAGGACAGCCTCCAAAGCCACAGAGAAAACCTGTCTCGAAACCACGCCCCCTCCCAACCCATTAAAAGTCTGCTTTCCCCCCCCCCAGTGGAAATTTAACATAAAATGGCATTTGTAACATTCCACTCTTTCTTACTAGTTCACATAAATCCTGAACTTCTTTTATTTATTTTTTTTTTGGTTTGACTCTTTTGAGATCTTACAGCACAGGCTGCCCAGCCTCCAAAGTGCTGGGATTATGAGTGTATACTACCATTCCTGGCTCAAAATGTATCTCTAATATGTCTGTAGGATTTAAAATCTGAGGATTTAAAAACCTGAGAAATAGTTTTTTGAAAAACCAAGAGATAGATCTTATTTTGCTTAGATACTTAAAAATAAGCAGAAAGAATTCAGGGCTTCCAGCTTTCTCAATCACTGTTTTGATACCCTATGTGATTCCTGTCTGTCTGTACAGACCTCATGACCTCTATGGCTAGCCAGTGGCAAGCTCCATCCTCCGATCTTCAGACAGGCTTTATTTGTATAAGCAAGGTATCACCACACCTATGTGTCAAAGACAAGCAGACTGCCTGCCCCTCTGTCTTCAATCATACTTCTCATACCCATACTAATTTATCAGAACCCAATGTACATTGTGTGCTGCTGAAGATCTATCCCAAAGCCTATGAATGCTAAGGATGCATACACCTCTAAGCAATGTCCTTTAAGTACACTTTTTTTTTTGTACAGATGGTCCCATACTTATGATAACCCAACTTAAGACTTTTTTGCTTACAAAGTGTTGTGAAGTAGCATGAACTGAGTAAACAAACACACATATTTTGGACTGTACATTTCTTTTGCAGTAGGAATATTGGGAGACTCTACTGCAGTGCTGTACATCAACAACCAGCCACAGCTCCTACTCCTGTATGATCACAGGGGACAACCAATAGTCTACAGAATACTGTGTTGTTGAGCTACGATATTTGGTAGCTAAAGTATATTAGTGAACTGTCAATTTATGATAGATTTTTCAGGCAGTAACTCCACTGTGAGGTGAGGAACATCTATACTTTTTTAAAGGGGCTATTCTGAGCTTTGTTGACTGCATTTCAATCACAATTAGAACCTGTAAAAATAATTGAAAAGACTTTGGACTAGGAACTCTCCAACTAATTGTATGCCATGCACCTTTGTATCTTACACAGGTACTCTCTAACATTAAAGCACAACAGCTTTGATACAGTACTGGTACATACTAGACACTCAACCAGTAGGTTGAAAAGTGCCACCACCCACAGAAAAGTACTTTCTCTGTGGAAAGCATGGGCATTTACTCTCATTTTTGTGTCTCCCAGACTAAGTTCTGTTGCTCAGGGATTTGAACTGATAAGAATTCAGCACTACAACAAAAACAAAAGACTTAAATATTTCCCAACAGAAACAAATATAATGTCAACAATTGGGCTAGATAGTATAGTTAACTAAAATAACCTAGATTAGTTACTTACAAAAGTTTTTCCAATTTTAGAGCTAGCTTGAAATGTTTGCTTTTTGGGCTGGTGAGATGGCAGTTAGTGAAGAGACTACTGGCTGGCCATCAAGCCTGACAACCTGAGTTCCATAACTGGAACCCACATGGTAGAAGGAGGGAACTGAAAGTTGTCCTCTGACCTCCACACATGGGTTGTGGTCTACATGCACTCATGAATACACACAGTCATATACATAGAGAACTTCAAAAGAGTTTGATCTTTTACCAAGACATACATTTATAATCATAAAGGAGAATATAGGCCATATTTTGTTAATTTGAAATTCCAAAATCCAATGTCCTGAAACTAAGTCCCCCTGGTAAATGTAAACAATATACTCACAGCTTGCATTTCTATATAGGAGAAATGGTTCATGGAGCTGAAATTCCAAATCTTTATTCACTGGTTCAACCAGATTGTGCATGTTCAGTCGGTTGACAATGGTAAAACCATGGTAAGGTGAAGCTGACCTTAGATTTAAAGAAATAGAACCGTGTTACCTTTTAATCTGTAGAAATTTTATCTACTACTTTATTTTCACTAAAAAATGCCTACATTTCAATATCACATGACACAATTAGCTTTGAAACCATCAACAAAACTAACAAGGCTGTGGATATAACTCAGTGGCAGAGTGTTTGCCTAGCATGAACCAAGTCCTGGGTTTAGGCCTTAACTCTTACAAAAAAAAAGTCAGACCATTTCCCTCTTTGCTCCTAAGTATTTATAAGGATCCCCAGAATAAAAGTAGAAGTCACCAAGGTTCCCACCCCACTTGACCTTTGTTTCTTTTCTGCTTCCACCACTCTGGCTCCCAGTCACTATTTGCAGGTGTGCTTCCACCTAAAGACCTCTGTCTAAACTGCTGCCCCCAAATGAGCACCACCATCTCATCTCCAGCAAGCATCTGCTCAAATGTCACCTTCTCACCTCAGTCTCCACCTCCTGTTTTTCTATTTACCATCTTTCTCCCACTACTAGAAAGAAAGCTCATGTAATTGAGGATCTTTGCCTCCCCAACCCCCATATATAGCATGAAATACATATATGCTGGAAGAAATACCCCTCCCCCCTTTTTAAAAATACATTATAAGTATGTCTATGACTGGCACCCATACAGCAATAATGTTTCTTACATTAAATAGTTAAAGAACCAGACATCAATAATCTTGCTGCCACCACCCTAAGTTCTAGAAAACAAGGAAGGGACCTGCCTCTAAGAACAAGACCCATAGGCATCTACGAAGACAAATGTTCCATGACTGTCATATCCTGTGGTCTGTCCTTTAAGGCCCCTATGTTGCCAAACATGGTAATGCTGAAAACCATTGCAAAACAATTTAAAGAATTTTCAGAAGCTTAAAGTAAAATATATACAATTATGAATAACCCAGGCATCCTAAACAACTCTGAAAGTAAAACGTGATAAAGACTATAAAACTCAGAACTTTGGGAAAGAAATGAAAGGGGCAGGACCAGTCATAGAAGACAAACTCTCATTAGAAACCACAGATCAGCAAAACTGATGTTTCAACTGCTATAGTTAAAGTATTGTATCCATAGATATTTATATGTTCATATTCTTCTTAATATGGGATAGCTGAGCAGGCATCTTTTTGGGATGCATTATTAGATAAGGCTTTCTACCCTGAGATAATTTTGTCAGGCTCTGAGAAGAGAAGTAGCTAGGGTAGGATTGCACAGCATGAAGATGAAAACTGGAAGAAAACAAACAGGAAGGTTCCAAAGACAAACACACAATAGAAATGGACCATGTTACATGAGACTGATCACCATTCAAGTGAAATAGAAACATACCTTCGATATACAAATAGGGTCCCTTCTATATCAGTCTTCTCCTGTAACAGATAATAATTAATTCTGTTAGTTTCCAATGTCAAATGGTTCCAGTGGAGAAGAAATGCTTTAAGACCAACTTGTTTTATTTATTGTGAAACCTGTCGTTCGTGTGTGTGTGTGTGTGTGTGTGTGTGTGTGTGTGTGTGTGTGTGTGTGTGTGCGTGCGTGCAGGTACTTGTGTGTAACTGTGTAGCGGTCAGCAGTCACCCCAGGTGTCATTCCTCAGGAACAGTTTTTGTTCTTTTGAGTCAGAGTCTCTCACTGGCCAGAAGCTGGGCAATTAAGCTAGGCTTGCTAGTTAGTGAGCCCCTAAGAACCATCTGCCTCCACTTCCCCAGTGTTGGATTGTAAGCACAAGTCACTACACCTGGCTTTTTATGGTGGGCACCTCAGGTTCTTTTACAAATTGTGTATCCATTCAACTCTATAGGTGTTTATATAATTGTAATCAATGTTCAATTCAACATGTCTACATCTGTAGCATTTTTCTATTTTAAACCTTAAGGACCACTAAAAAACAAAATACCAGAATTAGCTTTACTTTTTATTTTTATGCATTAACTTTTTTAAAAACTAAAAAACCAAACATACATGTTTGCCAGTACACACGTCTACGCAACATGTGTGCTGGAAACTCACAGAGGGCACAAGAGGGCATTGGATCCCTTGGAACTGGAGTTACAGATGGATGTGAGCCACCATGTGGGTGCTGAGAACTGAACCCAGGTCTTCTGAAGAGCAGCCAGTGCTCTTAGCTACCGAGGAACCATCTTTCCAGTCCCAGCTTTAACTTTGCCAAACCTAAAACCTTTCAACAAGGTATCTTAATGTTGAAGTATTTTGTGTTGCAACTTCAAAAACAAACAAAAAAACCTGACCAAACTTTAACAGTCTATCAAAGTTAATAGAAAAAGAAAGTAAACTGATACCAGGGCTGAACTCAGGGTCTGGGGCTGATGATGTAAAGCTGTATACCACTGAGCCAAATCCCTAACTCTCAGGAAATTTTCTTATATACTTTGTTTCACCTCTGGAGAATTTAGGAATATTTTCATTAGTAACAAATTTTGTGGTTAGTTAAGGACTACTACCAAACACTTTGTTAAGAATCCATGGATAGACCTCATTCTCAGACGTAGGCAATTCTGGTAGGTTTTTAAAATAAACATTTGAAAATTTGATTAAGAAATAACTTGGGCTGGATATATATAGCTCAGTGGTAGAGGTACAGTGCTTGAATAGGATCATGAGGCCCTAGGTTTGATCTTCTGCACTACAAGAAACAAAACAAGAAAATACAACCCATTAATATTCTTTCATCTGTTTTGACAAGAATATAGTCAGGTTTTAGGCACAGGCAGAGTGCTTTTATTTTTTTCTAAAACCCCAAAATCCTGTCAGTCTGTAGTTCTTGGCTTACACTGGATCTTGATAATTTAAATGTAACCAAAAGATTATCAAAACTTAACGTTATATCAAACAAATTGTTGTGATAAAAAATTAAAAATAAAGATCTGTTTCTTGTACATGTCTTCTACATCACAATGAAACTTATCCTTCTTGAGGCCTTTTCTTGCTTTAAAAAAAATGCTCTCATCAGAAAAAGATGACAGCCAGTTGTCTCAGAGTAAAAGTAAACTTGCCTCCCAAAATACATTGAGCAAAATTACAACTCACCACTAATAAATAAGAAAAGATGATGGTGAATGCACCATGTATCAAGATCCAAAAAAACAGCAGCTTAGGTTTCAATTTCATTTTAAAACAACTCCATGGTGAAAATCCTCAAGTGTTGCAAGCCTTTGTGAAAAACTACAAATAGGTAACAGTTATAAATGCTACTTGCAAATTCTCACCAATTGTCTGCAGCCCTTATGTTACAAATTTACATATAGAGGAAGCAGAGAAAAATGATACAAAATACTTCAAACTAAGGCACTGTTTAAAACAGGTATACCAGTAAAACAGTTTGTAATTTTATTCTCAGTGGCTTCCTACATCCCTTTCCCCTCCAGAAGGAGAAGGAAAATGATTATGGAAACTTCTTCTGACGTAAACTTTCATAAATGACAATACACTTCCACAAAATTACATCTATGTATCAGTGTCACAGTGAATAAAAGTTAGACCAGTCCTTCAGCGTTTTGTTAGTTCAAGGACCTCATTACTTGTTGAAGGGTGAACGCCTATCATTGATGAATTCTATTCAATCAACAGTTACAGATTAAAGGCATGAAGCTTTTACAGTTGAATGAATTAGAAAGAGTCAGCACAAGAAAATGGGAAACCATGTAAACAACTGAAAGGTACTTTAAGTTGAAGCTAACAAGTCAGTGAGTAGGCACTGTAACTTTTTGGAACTCCATCGCCACTCACAAAATCTAAAAAGTCCTCAGATGTGAGCCATCAAAGATTAGGTATCACCGGTCTCTTTTCCCTGCAAAAGGTCTCCAAGGAACCCTATTCTTACCGTAGTGCCCTTTCCTTAGATGCCTTGAAATCTTTCCCCAAACTCTAGAGTAGTTCGATTAAAGCGGGACTAACTCTTGAAACTGATTTTTTAAGCTTCAAATCCAAATCACCTCATTTAGGTAGGTTGGGGGGAGAGGGGTGGACTTTGTGATTAGACACATGTAATTTATCTAATAGTTCTCAAAGTCTGAAACACAGATTTCAGTCACAAAAATACCTCCCCCCCCAAAAAAAAACTAACTTGTCTCATATCCTTCCAATGCAACCAGTAAAAAAGTAAAATTACTCAAGTCCCCAGAACCGACCCCAAAGGACTGATCCTGCCTCATTCCTCCCCTCCATTAGATCTTCCCTGCTATATTTCTCCCGCTTCTTTCCTCCAATTCCGCGTGCCCCCGTCACCCCTCTGGTTCTGGCCGGGCCTTTAGGAGAGGTTCTGGCCTCGCCTTTGCGGTCCTGCTTCACTCCCCCACCCCCAATCCTAAGCTGCCTGCGCGGCCCCTTTAAGAGGCGGCAGCGGCCAGGTTGGCACCCTTCGCGGCTGGGCCTCACTCACCCACTGGTTGGCCTTAGGGCAGAAAGTGTACAGAGCGACCTGGCCCGTGAGGTCTGCGATGCTGGTGATATAGGGGTCGTGCTGCTTCAAGGCCGCCAGACTCATCTCTTGCCCTGCTCTACTCAACGACTCCATCTTGAATCCCGGAGCCGAGCCCCTCTGGCGGGGGCGGACTAGAGAACAGGAAAGTGCAATCCAGGCAAAGTTCCCCCAGCTCAGTCAGTCCTTCACTTCCGCCTAGCTGCCCGGCCTTGCGGAGGGTGGTACTTTAACTATTCTGTTCCGCCACTCCCACATCCTGGGAGCCTGGTTCCGGTCTCCGAAGGTCCGCATCTGCCGGAAGGTACTGGCTGGCGTCCGCGGCTGCGTGTGACGAGGAAGTAGCCCCCAGTCCTCGCTCACCTGGTGGGACCCGAGCTCCTTCCACGAGCACTCCCGGCTGCTCTCGGCTGCTCCCGGCTTGTGTCAGCCGGCGGGACTCCATCGCAGAGGCTGTCTCAGGTTCAGGCGCAGAATCGAAATGCTGCTGTGGAAATGACGTCTCCATGGACCGTTTAGAAAACTCAGAAAGTGTATGTGTGTGTGACTGTGTGTCTGTGTCTGTGTGTGTGTGTCTGTGTGTGTGCTGTATGTTACCTCCGACCTCAGACTGTGTGTGTGTGTGTGTGTGTGTGTGTGTGTGTGTGTGTGTGTGTGTGTGTGTGTGTGCGAGTGTGCGTGTGTTGTATGTTGCCTCCGACCTCAGACTGCACCTTCAGACCTTCAGTTAACAATTTGGTAATTTTTGAAAGAAATGTTTCAAAGCAGCCAAACTAAACTCGGAAAGAGTGTGTGTGATCGTTTAGAAAACTCAGAATGTGTGTGTGTGTGTGTGTGTGTGTGTGTGTGTGTGTGTGCTGTATGTTACTTTACCTCCGACCTCAGACTGCACCTTCAGACCTTCAGTTAACAATTTGGTAATTTTTGAAAGAAATGTTTCAAAGCAGCCAAACTAGCTTGCCTGGAATTACACAGGACTCCTTTTCTTTTGCCCTTTTCTCATATTTTTTTCTCATCCGAGTCCCAGGTAAATATTTCTATTGTTCCAGATTAAAGAACGTCGTTATTTAATACGAAGATCACTTTAAAAACAAACAAAGAGCAACTGGGAGGTGGTGGCACAGGCCTTTAATTTTAGCAGAGACAGGTGGATATCTGAGTTCGAGGCTAGCCTGATCTACAGAGCAAGTTCCAGGACAGCCAGGGCAGTTACACAGAGGAAACAAAACAAAACAAACCCCAAACATTTATTGGGCATCTTAAGTAGTGAGGTACTACTAAAAAGTAAAACAAAATGCCTACCCTATTTTCACCAAATTGCTTTAAAAACCATTTTCCTTTATTGAAGACACCTTGGTGTAATTGAACATTTTTGAAAAAACAAACTACGTTTTCATCAAAACAACACCACATATTTGTATTGCTTATAGTTTTACATCCCAAGATCATTTACTAAAGGAAGAACAAACTTTACATTCTTTACAGAATCGTGGGAAGCAAGTACAAAAGCAGGGAAAGTAACCTATTTATTCACTCTTCTGTCATGTATACTTTAATTGAATTTATAGAGTACTGGCCAGTTCTGAGCTTCCAGCTCTGTTTTGGCTCTGGGAGAAGCTGAAAGCAAACAAATAACCCCCTTGCTAGACATTTCTCTTTGACTTCCAGGGGATAGAGCCTTTAATCCCATCTGAGCCAGAAAAGCTTGGAGAAGGAGGTAATGTCTGAACTGGTGCTTTGTGTGTCTGTTCCCTGGGAAAGCAAAACGAGGGCTGAGGTTTGCTTCACAGCCCAGTGGTGAGAGAGAACCTACCATTTAACTGATGATTTAACTCAGACTCCAGAGTTAGCGGCTCAGAGTTCCACACCAGTCAGGAGGATTCTGGTATTAGAGTCTCTGGGATCCTTTGCTTCACATCTGGGCTGGCTTTCTTTCACCCAGAGGAGGGGAGGCAGGAGCCTCATTACTCTCTGTACCTTCAGTTCCCCTCTGTACCCTAGCTTTAATGTTATTGTTTAAATTTTTTAATTTAATTATGTGTATATATGTCTTTGTAAGTTTATGCCAACACATGTGTGCAGGGCTACCTGTGGAGGCCAGAAGAGGGTGTGTTGGAGCCCTTGGAGCTTAAGTTATGGGCATTTGTGAGCCTCTGGACCTGGGTGCTGGCATCTGGACTCAGTCCCTCATGGTTGAGCAGCAAGTGCTCTTACACAGTGGAGCCATCTCTCCAGCCCTTTCTTTTTCTTTCTTTAAATAATTTATTTAACTTTATTTTATGTGCATTGGTGTGAAGGTATCAGATCCCCTGGAACTGGAGTGAGCTGCCATGTGAGTGCTGGGAATTGAACTCAGGACTTCTGGAAGAGCAGTCAGTGCTTTTAACCTCTGAGCTATCTCTCCAGTCCCGCTTTCTTTTTCTTATGTAGACATTCTAAAATAATCCAAAATGTTTCCATTTGTTTCGAAATGTTGTTCCTCATGCAGGATTGAGCTATTGCTGCCTTAAACTCAGAGCAGCTGTCTGCCTAGGAGCCCCTCACAAGGTTGGGCCCATTAACACATGCCCTTGGAGAGAAGGGCAGGCTCACAAATGATCACAAGACCTGGGAGGCCTGAGAAGCCCAAGGGAGGAACTTCTGTGGCTAATCCCTCATTCACACACCTGTAAGTAAGCAAGTTAAATCTAGGTAGAAACCTTTTCTGTAGTCTGTCATTTGTGCCCAATCTGGAGTAAATAGATCCTTGTTTAAATCTCCCCAGGAAAAGCTAATGCAACACTTTTTTTTTTTTTTTTTTGAGACAGAGTTTCTCTGTGGCTTTAGAGGCTGTCCTGGAACTAGCTCTTGTAGACCAGGCTGGTCTCGAACTCACAGAGATCTGCCTGCCTCTGCCTCCCGAGTGCTGGGATTAAAGGCGTGCGCCACCAATGCCCGGCTAATGCAACACTTTTAATCCACTATTTTAGATTAAGCAAGGTTAGACTTGTGAAGTAGACCAAGCTTTCATATTTTGGGATAGAAAGTTCTCTCCAAAATGCTTTGTTTTTGAGACAAGGTCTTGCCATGTAGCCCAAGCTAGCCTGAGACTCACTAATTAGGCTAGGCCAGCTGCTGAGTGAGTTCCACAGAGTCTCTTGTCAATGTCTTCCCAGAGCTAGGATTAAAAATGTGCCACCACACCTGACATATTTATATGAGTTCTAGGGCTAGAACATAGGTCATTATGAATGTAGGTTTTTATTGAGCTCTCTCCCCAGCCCTGTTATTATTGTTATCATTTCACGGCTAGTATAGTCTTGAACTTATATATATCAGATTGATCTCTAACTTGAGACCCTCTTACTGAATGGTGAGCTTTCTGGTTTGTGCCTCCATACATGGCTTCAATAATTAAAAAAATAAATATAAAAATAATTTAGAAAAGGAAACCCAAGAGGCAGTCAGTCCCAACCCTCCTCTACTCTGAGCTTGTGGTAAAACAAGAAACTTTCCTGTGGTGTTCAGTTTTCATTGTTAGGGTGTTTTGTCACAGCAACCAGAAATGGAATTAGGACATTACCATTTAAAATTCTGGGGTTAAGCTGAATGTAGTGGTATGCAACTGTAGTTCTAACTAATTCTGAGACAGAACTACGTATGGTGGCTCATGACTTTAATCCCAGCATCTGGGACACAGAGGCAGGCAGATCTCTATGACTTTGAGGCTAGCCTGTCTACCATAAAGGACGATGGAATACCCATCATGCAAGTTGAGCATTGTCTTTTAGTTCCAAATATAAGAGCTGTACACCGTTATTAATGAGTTACAGTTTTCTTAGTTCCCCAGTGTAAAATCCATAGGCCTTGCCAAGGCCTGGGAGATACTGCTCCATTCAGTGTGCTTACCTTTCCTCCCTCCCCCACCCCTCACTTGCCCCATCTCTACCTCTGTCACTTCTCTCTTACTGTTTTTCTTTCTGTGTTTCTCCTCTTCGTGTCCTCCAACATATGTGTTCATGTATGTGGTGAGTAGATGGATATGCATGAATGTGCATGTGGGGGCCAATGGAAGTCAGATGCCTTCTTCCATTGCTCTCTAACTTATTTTTTTTGAGACAGGGTCTCACAGTAAACCATGAGCTCCCTAATTTGTCTAGACTGGATGGCCATTGAACCCCAGGGGTCCTTCTCTCTCCCTATCCCCAGTGCTGGGATTATAGGCATGCTGCCTTACTTGTCTTTTTTTATGTGGATTCTGGGTGTTGAACTCGGATCTTTCTGCTTGTATGGCAAGCACTGAGCCATCCTTGTAGGCATCTCAACCCCATTTTTTGAGGCAGGGTAGCTGTAAAGTCTTATTTCTCCTGCTTCTGGCTTCTCAGTACTGGGAGCAAAGTTGAATATCACCACACCTAGATAATCATCTGTGACAAAAAAATCTGAGAGAAGACATAGTAATTTTAACAAAGCATTTGCCTGATTTACTTGTATTAACATATTTATTATTCTTAGCTTGCATGCTTCCTAAAAACAAACATACTGTTTTTAATATAGCCAAGAATAACCACTCAGCCCCTTTTCAATACAACTTCCCCACATGTGTTTTTTCTTCTTTTTCCCTTTATCTTTCTCAGCCCAGTCCCCCTGCTTAGATATTTTTTAAGGTTTATTCTAGAAGTATCTGTTTATTTCTGTTTTCACTTTTGAGAATTGAAAGCTAATTTTCCCAAGGTCATATCATGATTCATTTGCTGAGTTTGGATTAGAGTCTTTTATCAGTGGTATCCAGGTAGATCACGTGTTATTCTGCATGGCTCACTCTTGAATTACACTGCCTACATGTGAGTGAAACTTGTTACTCCCGTGCTGCTGCTCATCACTGATACCCGTTTTAATTCCTTTTGTGTGATTGCTATCCAGGTGGCTGCCAGCTTATTGTGAGGTTCACAATTCAATCCTTACCAGATACTTAGGAATAATTATTTCTTTTCCTTGAAATGTCTCAGGCTTTTGTATTTTAAAATATCTTATGAAAGTGTTTTGTTTTTTAATATTAGGTCTCCCATTGTTGCTTAGAATGATCATGATCTCACCTCAGCTTCTAAAGTATCTGGAACTATAGGCATGTGCCATGATGCCTAGTTTATACAAGGTCCCCCACCCCCCCAAGGCATGAGGTGTTGTCTAGAATTAGA